GAGAGAGAGAGAAAGAGGGAGTGTCTGAGGAGTGGGGATTTCCTGACAGTTAGAACAATTAATCAATGGAACAGCTTGCCTCCAGAAGTTGTGAATGCTCCAACACTGGAAGTTTTTAAAAAGATGTTGGATAATCATCTATTTGAAGTGGGGTAGAGTTTCCTGGGTAAGCAGGCGGTTGGACTAGAAGACCTCCAAGGTCCCTTCCAACTCTGTTATTGTATTCTAACCATGAAAATAGGAAGCTGTTTTTGAAAGCCTGCTTGATGGAGGACACACATGGAGCCAGGTTGACCTTCCATCTCATTTAAGAGCCACCCACTCTGTGAGAGGAAGCCAATCCAAAAATCACATCCTCCTTGAATGTATGGAGATTCTCAGTCATCCAGGCCATGGTTGTCCCAAAGGTGCTTTGTTTCAAGAGGCAACTGGACTGTCTGGTTTTTCTTTGAAGGCATTTCACTTCTCATCCAAGAAGCTTCTTCATTTCTGACTGAATGGAAGAATCCTTCCATTCCCCACCATCCAGTCAGAGCTGAAGAAGCTTCTTGGATGAGAAGCAAAATGCCTTCAAAGAAAAAGCAGAAAGTCCAGTTACCTCTTGAAAAGAACACCTTTGGGACATGTCCTTCCTTGGTGGCAACACATGACAATGCCACATGGCTAAAGAAGACCTCCGATTGACTTCAGGTGTTGATGTTCACACGCCTCTTCATGTTTTCTGCCCAGTTACAGGCCATACAGCTACCGCCATTTTGCACCTCCCACAACCCCGTGCAGCACCGACGTTTGTGACAGTGATTACGCACCCAGCCGTCGGGTGATGACCATGGGGGGCAAAGGCTATGCCAGCGACCTCAACTACGATTCTGAGCCCACGCCACCGCCACCAACCCCACGCAGCCAGTACTTGTCTGCAGAGGAGAACTATGAGAGCTGCCCGCCTTCCCCGTACACAGAGCGGAGCTACACACACCACCTCTACCCGCCGCCCCCCTCTCCTTGCACCGATTCCTCGTGAGGGGAGCCCGCCCCCCCCCCTCAACTACGTCCAGCTCAGCTGTGTAAATAGTGTCGCTTGCCCTTGTTGAGGACATGGGGGGGCAGAATCTCCTGTGTACAGTTAAAATATTTGTCCTAGGGAAATTGCCTTTTGTAGAATGGGGAGAGGGAGGGAGCAAAGAGGTTATTTATATATTTTTTCCTAAAAAGAGAAATTGCTGCTTTGTGACATAAGAAATTTTTTTTAAAAAAAGTTTGTATACAAAGTTTTTTTTAATTATTATTTTTCCAAATGGAACACAAGAAGATGCCTTAAATCCGTGAAGGGACTGAGCATGTAAGGAAACGGAAGGACCAGGAGATGTTGCTGTTCAATGAGCCAAATATCCAAAAAAGAAGACAAAAGAAGAAGGAAGTGGGGGGTTTAAAAAAAGAAAAGAGGAATAAGAAAACAAGGAAAAGAATGAAAGGACCTGCACCACAAAGCAGCATTTTAAAAAATATCTGCAAAGAGGTGAATCCCTTAATATATATATATTACTCTGGCAGGGGAGCAATTAAATTAAACTTGAAGAAAACTGTTGAGACAGATCGGTACACCAAGAACCTTGTTTTCTACAAAAATGGAGCTGTTGGCGCACTCAAAAGAGCCATGCTCACCTCTGAACATTTCCTGGAATTCCCACCACTGAAATTGTCCCAGATGTTCTACGTTACCAGCTCTTTGTCCCTATTTTCAAGTTCCATCATTGTGTGGCAGGTGGTTTGGGCCAAAGCTGTAGAAATGTCTTTGGAATTGGATCCAAAGCGGACAAAGATGCTTGAGATCTGGAGTGGGGGGCACCTCCGCTACCTGCTAAGCAATTCCTTCAGGAAGCAGCGCCTTTTCTTGGACTTTGGGAGCAGCCCCCTGAGTCCCAGGAAAACACACAATTGAGTGAAGGAGCCTTGGCAGCAACGTGCCCAGAGGTGGGTTGCTACCGCTTCGCACCAGTTCGGGCAAACCGGTAGTGGAAATTGGGACAGGGTTGCTGAACCAGTAGGGATGACAGGCTGGCCACGCCCCCGAACCAATTCCCCAGTTGCCGCTTACGCCTTGGTTTTTAATCATTTTTTCATTTTCATTTCAATTTACGCTCAACTGCGCACGTGCACGACGCAAACCGGCAGCAACCCACCCCTGAACGTGACTGCCCCCCTGTTGGCCCCCCTCCTTCCCCTTGACTCAGCCATGTGTTTCCCTGAGCCTGCGGGGACCCCGTGCAAGCCCAGGAAAAGGTGCGACTTCCTACGAAGCAGCCCTCCAGTAAAGAGCAGGTGCTCTTGTTGCTTCCGAAGCAAACTCACCTGTTCAGACCCAAACCTAGGCATGCAGGCACGAGGCGTATATGCTTTTCATATACATTTTAAAAATTAAACAGGAGGGGCTATTTGCCTGGTGCTTGCACCCCTCAAGACTTGCTTGTCATGAGATGAGAATGGATCCAGCTGAGCTAGGCCATGCGCACCCCCATTCCTGACAACAGGATACAAACCTTTTTGCAAGATTGGAAAAGTCCATTTCAGTGAGGGTGGGGGAATTGGCTTATTCTCTTCTTCTTCTTCTTCTTCCCAAAATTGAGGGATTTTGCTTCGGTTGCCAATACTTTCTTCTGTTGCTAACAGGAGAGGGACCAGGCATACCCCTGCAGTCTCTGCTTCTTCCTTACTCGCGTAGCAGTCCCAGGGTCTGAGTCCTTGGTGAACAGGCTCTTTGTGAGTATGTGCGTGCGTGTGTGTGTGTGTGAGAGAGAGAGAGAGAGAGAGAGAGAAATTATGGGTGTATGCAAGAAATGTTTTTCATTTCTTCCTGCCAGTACAATCGGATTAGTTCTCTTACCACATCAGTGATGTTTTCAGACCCGAGACAAGGGTGATTACCTCTGAAAAACCTTTTCAGTAGACTTCAGTGCCTCCAAAGAGGGGCCCTATTTTTTTTTTAATCACACAAAGAATAAAACATATAGGTGGCATATTTACGAAAGTGAACGTTGGATTCTTAGATTAATGGAAAAGAGAACGTATAACTCTTGCAGTTCGTTCAGTGATTCTACATGCACTGAATCGCCACGTGCAGCTTGTATTTTAAATTGTGCTAATTTTTTTGCCTTTTATCAAGAAACTTGCAAACACTTTCAGTCTGG